GAATCATGAAAATTTATAATGCCATGCATGTGCGTATAAAATACCATACCATGCATAGGTATATGTGTACATAACATCATCAAGCCTATAAGGGCATCCTATCATATCATCTTAGCCACTGTGGACAAAATCATCAACGTATACCAGCTGATCAGGTGGTGGTGTGTATATAACGCCGTAACCTTTTCCCATATCCCATATACATATAATATACGCGTATATAACGCCTTCTGGTCATGGGTCAATGTACACGTATAAATGCATGAAATGCATAAGAAATACGTTAATAAGATTTCTCGAATATCATAAAATCAATATGCCTTTCGGACAAACTTTATCAAATACGTATATTTCTGAGACCCATGAATAGAGGATATAATAATAATTCACATGGGGAATCAAGAATATAGAAACCCTAGTATTTCTATGAATAGAGCCATTTATGAAAGTTGCATATTTTGCTTGTTTCGTTTGTATCATTTGGATCATGCCTAAAAGAAAGAAGGGATAGCCTTAACATACCTTAACTCCGTTGAGTCCTTAATACCTTCCAAGAAATTCTCCAAACAACTCAATCCAATCTACCACATCATAAGGAGATTCAAAATCAGTGCTGAGTAAAGGCTAAGTCCTCAACTTAAACTAGTAGCTCGTTTACGTAAATTTGGGCAGCATCTCCCATGTAACTAGGCCCTCTTCCTCCAATACCATATACCAACAACAACAAGAACATAACAATAACAACATGTAAGCATCATTTTACAACCTTATCTCCATCACAATATATCACAAAATAGCCCACACGCCATAATCACTTCATACATAAAACGACAACCAAAGTAGTGCCAAACAACTTTAAAAAATATAACGACGAACGACCAGCCCACTATTCCATCATTATGTGGTGTTTCTACACACCATTTATCCTCCAAAACTCCATTAAACAGTAGAAAAATAGACAGCCCAAAGGCAACACGAAATAACCCACAAAACAGTCTACTACAAGTCAAATAACTCGAACTCACGGCTTCCGATCACCGTCCCGTGAGTTCTAACTATTACAAAATGAATTTATCAACCTCTCTTGATATTTAAGCACTTAAATACAGAAAGTACATATTTTCTTAACTATGAAGTACCTTCCAAAATTCAAACTATAAAGAAAAAGAGAGGCGATATAGCGATACTTACGTCTTAGGGATCGTTTTAATGTTATCGCTTCTTGATTTCGTGCCCGGGATGATAATCTTATTTGAAACACTATTAGAGAGCTCAAGGATAAGTTTTATGGTGTTCTCTGGTCAGGTTCTATGTATAAATGTAGAGAGAGACGAGTTAAGACATATATATCAACGTTTGAAAAGTCAAAAGGTGCTAGCTTGACACCCTCTCATTCGCCCATATTTCGACGCTTATATCTTTTTACTCGGATGTCATATGAATGAACGATTAAGTGCGTTGGAAACTATATTCCAAGACCTTCAATTTTGTATATAATATGTCCTAAAAGACCTCATATAGCACACTGAAGTTATTTCTCAAAAAGCTCTGTTACAGGGCAAATCCTTAGTCGGTTTTTCCGCAACTTTAATCTGATTTTTTCCAAACTTCATATTTTCTATCCAAACGTCATATATAGCCATATTATGACTTTAAAATTATTTAAATCATAATTAACAAGTCTCATATTCATTACGTCACCTTAGGACGCACAAAGTGTAACAATGAAAATCCAATACCCTCACTTGTTCGCGACTTCAGGTATGACTATTTCCTTGAAATTTTGACTTTGGAGTTTATCATGCTTTAGTTCCATGGAGCGAGTAAGCAATTTATTTATCTTACTTATGCGTTGGGATTCGGTACGATTTTATGATGTAATTGATTCATCTATTTCTCATGGTTATTAGACTCGTCTCATGTTAATAGATTTTATTGTTGTGATGCCGAGAGAGACTATGTGATGGTGTTTGGATGTATATGAAGTCGTGGAGACATTTATTGATATAATTGTGATGAGTAGAGACGTGTGGGCCTTTTTATATTATATTCTTATGGCTCGCTGTCAGGTTGAAATTTTAGGATAAGCCTATTAACAAAGGAAACTCTACAGAAAACTCTACAAGCCGTAAAGTGTTGAGGATTAAGAAAAGACTTGGAGATTATGCTTTTGGACTTTAACACAACCAAAATTTGACATTCGAGAACGAATGTTTTTAAGTGAGGGAAAATATAAAGTTTCATAAATTTTTACAATTAATTCAAGCAAAATTTGAGCTTAAAAATATAATTTATATCATCTCGAGTCAAAGGGACCCAAACGAGTGTAGCAAGGCCATCTCAAACAATTGGAAAATACTAAGTTATAGTTATTAAAGTGCATGGACTAATGCACACGAGAGGAAGTTGGGGAAAATAAGATAATAACTTGGAAAATATTTAAATTTCAAAGGAGTGAATACTTGGACTAAGATTCTTAAGAACTGATTGTAAAACAATTGGTTAAATGCTGAAATTATGTGGAGAAACTAGAGAATAAAATAATGGAACAAAGGAACAACGATTATCGTTGATTACCTAAGGGAATAAAGAAAGTAATGGAAGGAGCTAAGGCACAAGGCAGTGAAGTGCCAAAGTAGCGCCGGTCCCAGCATGCCACAACTAAAGCCTTTTTTTAAAGGCAATTTCGGGGAGAGAGTATCACTTTTATTTGGGACTTTGTCTTGAGGGTTAGAGAGAAGAAGGAGCTCTCTACCATTAATACATCTTTAAGGTAAGAATTTAATGCCATTCTTGGTAGATTTGATCCATTAAATACATCTCTTAACTCTTCAATTACATGGAAATTATAGATTTTTTGAAGAATATCTTAAGAACTCAAATCTTCAAAGTTATAGGGTTTGACAAAGAGGTAATGTCTTCACTTCAATCTTATGTACTATACTCCATAGACGTAGTAGAGTATATTTATGAAGATAGACTTGTATTTAAACATCTATTCATGAAACCCTAGAAGCTAGTCTTGAAATTGAAGAGTTGGTTGGTAGGGATGATTAATAGTGTTGGGTCGTGCTTGAACGATGTTATTTTGAGTTTTTAGTGGAACGACTAGATCCCATAACAAGTTTAATGAATGAGTTGGAGTCAAAAATTCAAGGATTGACCTTCAAATGATGAAAGGGGGATTTTTGCTAAACTTATGAAATTGGACGTAAGTGTTAGGCACTTAGTTAGTATTGTTGTGACGCGTTATTAAATCATGTGAGTTCATATATGTAGATTGTGACTCATTGGCATTATTGGATCATTTGGGGTAAGGTTGGAAGAAATTTGAGGTACGTTGAAACTTACTACCCTCGGAGCTTTTCTCCAAACTCATATCGAAACAGGAATAAATAGAAATTATAAATGTGAGTCCTAGTTTGTGGGGACGAGCGAGTTGAGATTGTACCATTTCTTGCATCATAAAATATTTAAGTTCTATAAATATTATTTTCTTGAAATATTTTATTTTTATTTTAAAACTAAATGAAGGAGGAATAACACTTGTAATATTTTTGAAATGAAAATTCATGAGTTGTGAAATATCTTAGATTTAACTATTCTCAAATAATTGATTTGGCTATGAACATCATCATTGATAAATGTAAAGGATTTGGGAGTTACTTAAGTTCACCTAAATTGACCTTGGATACTTTTCCTCGTTAGGTCATGAAACTACACGTTTCGATGTAAGCGTAGAACCTACCTTACGGTTGAGAACTATGGCAGAGTACTTCCCATGAGGGGGTCGATTAGCATGGTTGAGTCTATTCGTGCGGCACAACGATGAGACGACCTGAGCAAGTAGGGGTACATGATACTTGTCGTTAGGTACATAACCTAGTTAACTTTCTTCCGTATCGGTAATGGTATAGTGCTTCCGGTAAATGAAAAATCTAACATAATTTTGTAATGATTAATGCTAAAGGAAGACTTTGAAATATGTTTTACCTTATTATTTTATTTTATTTGCTAATTTGTTAATTGATATAACTGCTTCTTTCCTATATTAGTTGTTATTGGATATCTTATATCTTCTTAAGCCTTGTCTTATTTTTTTGGGAAGCGGTTCATGATTCGTACTAGGCATGTGGAGCCTAGGCCTTTTGGCCACATTTCTATTTTTTTATTTTCAGGGACTGAACCTGAGCAGTTTGGGTCGCGAGGTTAGGACAACTCTACATTTTCTGTTGACACTTTTTGGCGAGACTCCACACTTGTATTCGTGGATGACTTTATTGTATTATTATTCTTTTGAGCCTCCGGGTTATGCCTTGGTTGGCTATTTCATTCCGTGTCATAGAGATTCCATAGACAATAGTAGTATTCATTTTTGGGGTTGTAATCCTATGGTTACTCATATGGCATGCATGAATGAAACTTTCTTTTATCTTTATGAGGTTTTCTTTTAAATAAAAATATTTACTTAAAGACATTATTCATGTTTTGTTTTATATCTTAAAATAATTATATTTGAAGAGGCTTTCGCATCCTTCTATTAAGCATATAGATGAGTATTAATTTATGGGATGGTTCACTGGGGCGGATAGAGTACCGAGTGTCAGTCACGTGATTTTAGGGCGTGACAGCTCCTTTACCACCAAATCAGCCTACATCTTCCTTAGCAACAACAGTAAGCCTCTGAAGAATGGGGAGGGGATAATTTCGGTTGGATATGGATGTTAAAGGTACCCAATAAAATTAAACTTTCATCTGGCTGCTTACCCAGGAAAGGCTTCCAACAAGAGTTTTCCTGCACAAAATTGGGGTTAACCGTAACCTTGCATGCTGCTTCTGCTCCACATTTTCTATAAACAAGCAACCATATTTTCTTTGACTGTCCAAATGCCATCCAGTTATGTCATGATCTAACCTCAAAAAGCACATATGAAAGCCAACAAATGAACCTAACCTTCACAGCCCAGCTCTCGCCCACTACAAGGAACAAGCTTAGGAAAATGCCTTTCAATAATACTATATTCTGGGAGGCTATCCTTCTATTCTGCTTTTGGCACATTTGGTTAACTAGTAATCATAACATATTCAACAATAGAAAATATCCCATCTCCACTGTGAACACCATTGCTAAAACCACTGAATTCTACACAATAGCATGCACATGGAACATTAAAGATACAGTCCCTATCAATGTCAAGTGGGAGCCTCCCCTAAGGGGGCACTACAAGCTAAATACTGATAGGGCAGCTAAAGGTAACCCAGGGGTAGGGGGAATTGGTGGGATTTTTAGGACACTCAGTGGTGATTGGATCATTGGGTATTTGGAGAACATTCCACACACAACCAACACCCTTAAAGAACTGACTGCATTGCTTGAAGGCATTCAAATTGCATAATAGAATGGACTAACATCGCTGGAAGTAGCCACAGACTCATCAGAGGTAATAAGAATGTTAATCACAGGAAATAACACTTATGATTCTATTATTTGTGAATGCAGTTTGTTTATCCAATGATGGCTAGGGTAGTGGTGAAGCACAACTACAAGGAACATAATAGGGTGGTGGATGCATGAGCAAAGCAAGGAGCAGAAAAACAACAATGCTGCTAGTTCCTCCGGTGTTTGCAAATGAATTATTTTGGGAAGACATCTTAGGAACTGAAGTAACTAGAAATATTTTGGTTTGTAATAAAACTTGTCTGACATAGGGGGTAACAATATCCCCCTAACAATCAGTATTCTGCAGTGTAATTATTATTAATATATATACAATCCCCCATTACCAAAAAAACAAAAGATATAACTCAGTCCATACTTACATAGGGGCGTACGCACCTTGCTTGAAGCAGTGCCACGTGACATCGCTTCGTCAGAATTTTTTCATAAACTGTATGTATAAATAATAGATAAAATTAAAATATTGAATAAAAATACAAAAAATGACATTGCTTGCCTTGACAGTAATTTATTCATTTGTTCACTTCTTCAAATATTGACACTGCTTACAAAATTTCTGTGTATGCTGCTATATTTAAAGATATTTAGACAACGTCTATGAACATATAATTTAGCAATAGAATTGATGTAGAATATTCGTTTGCATAATTAGTGTGTGTCTACTTTTTTTTTTTTTGGTAATTAAACCTTTTGTATTAACCACCAATGTAAATATTTACAAAGCAGAGTAGATCAGCACGACCTGCTTCGAAGAAAAGCTGAAAAAACATCACATAAACCTGGACTTCCTATACTCCTAGCCTCTTTTACACAATTGTTCTCAAAGTGCTAATGACTAATATTTACATTTACTTAGCAGAACAAGTGAATAGCCTTTAGCTCTAATATAGCACATACAGGTCACCCTCCTATCTAGGACCTCCCATGCAGTAGCTTATTGTTCAAAGATCCTTGAATTTCGCTCGATCCACGTTGTGTGGTATTCTGTATAGACTAGCTTGAGCAGCCTGGCCATCTTTGATCTGCCATTGGTCTTCATTACTATCCATTGTTGTCTGACAGGCCAAGATCCTGTAGAAGGATGCTGAATTTGAAGCCAATGCATGAGCCTGTTCCATAGATTTCTGCCATATCCACATTCAACAAAAATGTGGTCCTTTATTTCAGGCATTTGTTGGCAAAAGCAGCATGTATCATCTATTTGGATACCCCAATTCTGTAGTCTATCTGCTATAAGAATTCTTCCTTGGACCTGAAGCCACATAATAAAGATTGCTTTTGGTCTTGCTTGATTCTGGTACATCAAGCCTTTCCATGGCACTTTAGGCAGGGTCCCTAGTAATTGCAGATACATTTCTTTGATAAGAGTGTTGTGTTGATCCTACCTATTGCTAATAAGTCTCTGATTGCTTCTTGCCTCAAATATTTTTCTAACAATCCAGCAAGCTTATTTTGGTACTCCCATGCTAGTAAAAACCTGTTCTATAATAGCTATGGATCTATTCGATCCAGAGCTTGTCTTTTTTGTTTACCAGCTCCCAGCAGGTCTTGGTTATAACAGCCTTGTTCCACAGAGCCAGGTTGATCAGATTTAGCCCCCTGCAGCTCTTGGAGAACACATCATATCCCAAGCAACCAAGGATTTTTTGGTTATTGTATTTACCCCTGACCAAACATAGCTTCTACAATAGGCTTCAATTGATTAAATGACTTTAGCAGAAATAATAAAAATTTGAGCCTAGTAAGCTTGTATGCCAAAGATCACAGTTTGAACCAATTGGAATCTACCGGCATAAGAGAGTTTATTTGCTGTCCATGAACATATTTTGGCCACTATTTTGTCAATAAGTGGTTGCCATTGCATCACTAAAAGCTTCTTACTGGTAAGAAGTATGCCTAAATATTTGAAAGGCAGAGACCCTTGATTGTATCCCAAAGTTTGTTATATTTCTTGCTTCAATTCAGTGTTAACCCATCCATAGTAGATTGATCTTTTGGCCAGGTTTGCTTTAAGTCTAGAAGCTTCTGAAAAAGTTTAAATTTGGTGTGTAGAAGAGCAACAGACGTAGCATCCCCTCTTGTGAATAAGAGGAGATCATCAGCAAAGCTCAAATGAGTCAGATCTAGCTTTGAGTACATTGGGTAATAGTGAAAAGCCTTCTCCTGCTTGAGTGTCTTTAAATTCATACTCAGATATTCTATTGATATGGCAAAGAGAAAGGGATACGTGGGGTCTCCTTGCCTGAGTCCTCTAGCTGCATCAAATGGTTTGATAGTCTCCCCATTGATGAGGATAGTATAATTCACAGTTTACACACACTCTAAGATCCATTTAATGAATTGGTCTGGAAAGCCCAGTACTTCTACAACTTGATGCAAGTACCTTAATCAACTGTATCATAAGACTTCTTAATGTCTACCTTGATGAGGCACCTTGGAGATATATTTTTCCTAGAATAGGCTTTAACTAACTCTTGAGCCAGTAGGACATTATCTGCAACCTTTCTGCATGGTATAAAACCTGCCTGAGTATCAGAAACAATTGAAGCAATGACTTTTTGTAACCTGTTAGCAAGTACTTTAACTATTAGATTATACAGGACTATGTAACAAGCAATATGTCTGTATTCTTTAATATGATTAGGAACCTTTGGGATCAGTATAATAGCTGTGCAATTAATTGCTCTAAATAGCTTGCCAGAATGAAAGTATTCCTTAACTACTTGACAAACCTCAAAACTGATTAGTGACCAGGTTTTCTTATAGAATAGTGCATTATAACCATCAACTCCTGGTGCTTTGTCATCTCCAATAGCACATAGTCCTTCATATATTTCCTGATCAGTGATCTCTGCACATAGGCTCACATGCTGCATATGCATAAGTACAGGTCCCGATTTCATCACCTGCCTATTCACCGCTGGAAATCGAACTGTAGTAGAGCCCATCAAAGACTTATAGAAAGCAATTACTTCTTCTTGGATCTGGTGCTGATCAGTGAGTCTGTCTCCATAGGCATTAGTCAATTCTGCAATTACTTTTCTTTGCTTTCTTTCCTTCATAACAGCTGAGAAGTACTTGGAGTTTGAATCTCCAAGTCTTATCCATTTTGCTATGGATTTCTGCTGAAGGATACTTTCTTCTATCAATGACCATTTTCCAAACTTTCTAGCAGTATTTTCTCCTCAATTACTAATTCATCAGAGTAGCACATGTTCAAATGATCTTGTGTATCTTGTAGCTTATGCCTGATTAACTCCATCTTAGTTATTATTCCTCTAACTCAACAGTATTAAGTTGCTTTAACAATAACCTAAGTGTAACGACCTGATCGGTCGTTTTGAGCATTTACGCTCCTTTCAACTATTTGAATTCTTGAATAACTTCCTACGATGTATTATGACTCGTGTGAATTGTCGGTTTTGGTTTTAAGATATTTCGGAGTTAGCTTGGAAGAATAAATTTCATGTTGGAAGCTTAAGTTGAAATAGTTGACCGGATGTTGACTTATGTATAAACGACCCCGAAATAGAGTTTTGATGATTCCAATAGCTCCATATGGTGATTTTGGACTTAGGAGCGTATCCGGAAAATTATTTGGAGGTCCGTAGTGGAATTAGGCTTGAAATGGCGAAAGTTGAATTTTTGGGAAGTTTGACCGGGGGGTTGACTTTTTGATATTGGGGTCGGAATCCAATTCTGAAAATTTTCATAGCTCCGTTATGTCATTTATGACTTGTGTGCAAAATCTGAGGTCAATCTGACTTGATTTGATAGGTTTCGGCTTCGTTTGTGGAAACTTGAAATTTCAAAGTTTATTAGGCTTGAATTGGGGTATGATTCGTGGTTTTAGCATTGTTTGAGGTAATTTGAGGGTTCGACTAAGTTTGTAAGGTGTTTTAGGACTTGATGGTATATTTGGTTGAGATCCCTGGGGGCCTCGGGCGAGTTTCGGAGGGTTAACGGATCGAATTTGGACTTGGAAGAAAATCTGAAGGTTTCTGCCATCTGATGTAATCGCACCTGCGGAACTTCCATCGCATGTGCGAGCTCGCAGAAGCGAGCCTTCCATCGCAGATGCGTCCAGGCGTGGTTGGGGCTTCGATCGCAGAAGCGGCAGGTAGCCGCAGAAGCATCCCCGCACCTGCGGGCGTTTGATCGCAAAAGCGCAAGGGCGCTTGGTGAGGCAGCTTCGCAGAAGCGGACAGCTCCTCGCAGAAGCGTGTTTGCAGATGAGCACAAAATCTCGCAGAAGCGGAAACCCCTGGGCAGTACAAAAACAGAGGGGTTCCGAGCTTTTGCCATTTTTGGGCATTTCAAGCTCGGGTTGGGCAATTTTGAGCGAGGTTTTCACGGAAAATCTTGAGGTAAGTCACTTGTGATCATTTCTACTTCATAATATTGAATTATCATCGAATAATCCGACTAGATTACATATTTTTGAGGTGTAAATCGGNAGTTGAGGTCGGATTTTGGTAAAATTGGTATGGTTAGACTCGTGGTTGAATGGGCTTCCGAATTTTGTAACTTTTGTCGGGTTCCGAGACGTGGGCCCTACGAGCGATTTTTGAGCTAAATTTCGGATTTTTATGGAAAATTAGCATTTTCTTATGGAATTAATTTCAATAAATTTTATTGACTGAATCGAATTATTTGTGGCTAGATTCGAGGCGTTTGGACGCCAATTCACGAGGCAAAGGCTTAGCGGAATAAGAATTTCACGGTTTGAGGTAAGTAACAGTTTTAAATCTTGTCCTGAGGGTATGAAACCACTGATTTTGTATCATGTGATTGTTTTTGAGGTGACGCACATGCTAGGTGACGGGATGTGGGCGTGCACCGAGGGGATTGTGACTTGGTCCGTCTCGTGAAACTGAAAAGTTGACTAACTTGTTGTTAGCTATATGCTTTCTATGTGTTGAAGAAATTTGACTGTAAATCATGTTAGAAAACTTGCTTAGGCTATGTGATAGTATCGTTGGGACCCGCAGAGGTCGCGTACTTATTAAATTATTTGCTAATTACTGTCTTGTACCCAGTCATGATTTTACTTGCGTATCATACCTCAGTCCTTCTTGATTTTTGTTGATACACTATGTTATCTTTGTTTGGGTTGATCTTTGTGATTTCTGAGAGCCGAGGGACTAGAGAGGTTGAGGACTGAGTAAGGCCGAGGGCCTGCCGGTGAGGTAAGGATACTATAGCACGTGAGTTGTCCGTGCAACACGTGAGTTGTCCGTGCAGGATATTATAGCACGTGAGTTGTCCGTGCAACACATGAATTGTCCGTGCGGATTATAGCGCTTGGGCTGTAGGAGCCCCTCCGGAGTCTGTACACCCCCAGTAAGCGCGGGTACCCATCGAGTGTGAGTGCTGAGGGCTGAGAGCCGAGTGGTTGAGTTGTTGTGACAAGTTGAGTGACTGTTGCCTTGAGAGGCTGTACTTGCTTTTCATTTGTTGTTGCACTTAGTTGCTATCTGTCATTGTTATGAAATTTTCTAAAAGATTTTATATCTGGAATACATGAACTTGAACTGTATAAAATTGATTTGACTTAAACTGCTGGATTTGAAAGCATGTCTATTCTTTGCTGGAATTACTAAAAGTGAACTATAACTGTTTAGCTAGTCATTATCTTCAGTTATTTATTTATTATTGTTACTTACTGAGTTAGTTGTACTCATACTACACCCTGCACTTCGTGTGCAGATCCAGGTGTTCCCGGACATAGCGGGTGTTGATTCTTTCGTACAGTTGATTTTCCGGAGATTCTAAGGTAGTTGCCGTGTTTCGCAGACCTTGCCTCTCCTTCCCTATCTTCTTAGTTACTGCATTTGGTCTCAGACTATTATGGACCGTATTTTTCAGACTTGTATTCATATTAGATGCTTATGTACTCAGTGACACCGGGTTTTGGGAGTGTTTATATATGTATTTATGAATTTTCTTCCGCTGAATTTAATCATTACGTTTTTAAACTTAAAAGATATGGGAGTTTATTGAGATTGTCGGCTTGCCTAGTATTGAGATAGGCGCCATCACGACGGGTGAGATTTTTGGGTCATGACACTAAGTGCCTTCGGTTTGTACCAAATATCTTTCATAGTATCTGAATGCAGTTGTTCCTTCCAAACTCCTTCAACCAGTGGTAGAAAGTCTTCTCACTGGTTGAGGTTTCGTGTTTCCGGGCTAATGGTCCTCCTTGACCTCTTCTTTGCTGGTTTTTGCACAGTCATGCCCAAGTTTTAAATATTTTTCACAAAAATCTGGTTTCTGGTCATATTCAACTGTCTGTTCAAATATTCTGCATGAGTTTTCCATGACTGACACCTTGTTGGGGAGAGATTTGGCAACATTCACTTCAATGAGTATTCTAGCAAAGGAGATTCTAAATTGTTTAGCAGTGCACTCATCTACAAACAGTGGAATTCTTTGTACTTGCAATACGACTCAAAGAGTTACCTCCCCAGCAGTTCATTGAGAGTTTAGGAAACCTTACCCGCAGTGGGATCTCAGTTAAGAATTCAGAGTCAAAATCAAACTATGGACTCCAGTGTTTCATTATCATAGGCCTGTTATTAACCGTGTAAAGTCCATCACACAAAATTTTCTTCATATCTGCTATGGAATGGAACCTGACTATGAAGTAACCATCATCGTGTGAGTAACGATCTGGCATAATCACAGTATTCCACATTTGATTTATGTATCTATGCATATAGTTATACCCTGGCTTTTCCCCAATCACATAGATAATTAGGGCACACTTCCATTTCATAGTTTATGTCTCAAGTTATGATTTCTCAGGATTAGCTACTAGATTACCTTTTACAATCTCAGGGGTGATGTAGTTCAAAGCCAAACCATTAGCAGCTAATCGATTGCCATTGAGTACTCCAGCCCAAGTGGACTCCTTGGTCACTTCCGGCAATGGAACATTAACTGGTACTTGGGCTTGGTTTCCAACCTCCTGCTCTTTAACCTTCAATGGAACAGTAGCATCACGAGAAGGTGGAAGTGTGACACTGCCCCTTAGGTCGACATGCAGGGGAATAAGACTCTGATTTGCTCTCTTTTGTTGTTGACTAGCCGATGCAAAAGCTCCAACATAAGGGATCTGGGTGAGGATTCCAGGTCCTAAATGGGTTTTTGAAGCTCCGGAAATGAACTCCATGAAAGCTGATGAACTGCCTCCTGTGTTTTTTAGTTTTGGGATTTTGTCATCTACCTTGATTTGTTGCTTCTTAGGACGTCCGCGTTACTTCTTTCCTGCCATTGACGAGCTTAAACTACGCCGAGTGTCTACTTATATTTGAACTTGTTTACCCTAGCACTTTGCAGTGCACAATTGTAATAATTTTGCGGGGCAACTAGTTGCATAACACCATTTGAAGCGCAATTGTTTTGAAATTTTTTTATATCCGCAACCAATTAAAGGTTACCAGCATTAAAATCATCCCTATTGTAAGACTAAATAACTGGATGGAATTTTCAATATGAAAAGTGAGTTTAAATCATTTGACTGTTATTGAACAGTTTGTTTTCTTCTTCTATATCTTATATACAAGATTCCATGGAGTAAATGAAATCAATATTCTTGTTTTCTATATATATATATATAAAGATTCTATGAATAAATTAAAACATCGTCTAAAAATCATCATTGTTGCAAGTTTGAAGAAGTGGGTCTTGAATTTCAAATTTTGAAAAATTTAATTGGTGTTGTTCAAAAAGCTTGAAAATATTGAAAGGTAAAGACTAGCTATATAAACTACTCTGGTATTTCGCAAACTAGAAAATTTCGTACAAGAGGAAGAAGGATATTTCAGAGACATAAGATGCATAAACTCATATATGTGACCAACAATTTCACAAAAAAATGTGAGAAGTTTGTCCTTGACACCAACTTTTAGACGTATAAGTTGAAAGTTTGCTTGCACAATCAATATGCCGATCACACAAAATTTTGTAACTTTAGATGTAGTTTTTATTCAGTCTTGTACGTCTGAAGTTGTTTTTGAAATGGCTAAATTTATAAAAATTTATGAACTTAGGTCAAAGCTTAAATATCGGTACCAGGATCGACTATCTATGCACTTGTTCTAGTAAAATATATGTTGTTTTCTCTTCTAAACTAAAAATTAGTTGCATTGTACTTCAAACATGTGGTTTACTATAAAATTCTTAATGTAAACACTTCAAGTTCTCTACTTATAATGAAAACGAAAAAAGATCCTGAAGACTCAACTAAGGAATTACTGAATAGTTATGAACAAAAATACAGTTTTTTATCAAATTTATAATATTCTGACTAGCTTCTTTTTTATTTTTGAATTGAGTTTCGACTATTGAGTATAAATTCTTTTAAAAGGCAATGTTGATGCAATTGCAATTTGATTTGGTCAAGTATTAGTGCAATTTTCCCCTTTTAGATGTAGCTTTATGAACACTCAAAATTTAGAAGGCAATGTCACCTTAATAAGAGCCCGTTTGGGTGGGTTTGGTTGAAATTGTATTTTTTTAATAAGCAATTACATATATGTTTAGAGTGCTGAAACTGATAACAAACTTTTAAATTTGGTAAAAGAATGAATCAATGTTCTTTAGTTAAACGGCTAAAATATCTTGAACTTTTTTACAATTTTTTTAAATTTAAAAGTATTTTTTCATACGGAAATGAGGAACGATGGATATGGAGTTGAGAAAAATTAGCAATTTATTTTGGAAAATATACGTTGAGAAATGAGAAAGTATTAAGGATAAAAAAAGAAAAATTATCGGTCAAACTTAAAACGTTTATTAGATGAAAAATAATAAGTGGAAGGTAACCAACTTATACTTTTAATTGATTTTGACTTACCAACACTTTACGTGTAAGCATGGGCAGATCTACATATCAAATTTGAATGTTTAAGCACCCATTAACATCCACAAAAGAGTATGCGTGGTTATATTGAAATTTTAAGGAAACAGATATATTAACATAACAAGCATTTAGGCAACAAAACATTTGATGGATGCTTTGGTCAAGAAAGAGGGATGGTAGGTTATGAAAGTAGGCAGCGGGAGTTCGTTTCTGGGTTTATTACAAGACTCTATTAATAGGCATCTTTTGTTCTTTTTGATAGCCACCATTTTAAGGGCCCATTTGGCAATAAATAAAATTTTACTTTTTTTTCCCTAGAAATAATTTATTTTTTTCGAAATTAGTGTTTGACCATGAAAATTCAAATTTAATTTGAAGTTGAATGAATTTTGAAAAACTCACAAAAATTTTAAAACAGCTTCAAATTATATTAATGTCCAAACACAACTCTAGTTTCAAATACCGTTTTCACTTATTTATTTATTTATTTACTTTTTTTCTAAAATTTTACAATTTTTATATTTTTCGCTAACTTTTTGTTTTACCTTTCTTTAAAAAATTTTTTTACTTTATCTAAATTACTTTACTATAGCAAAGAAAGAAAAAGAAAATCTACATAAGAAGGGACTCTAAAGTTTGACCCCTTTTGAAGACCATGCTTAAATTTTTCACCACTTTTTAGTATGTAAATATATTTTAATTTTAACCTATATATTTTAGCTCTTATTTCAACTTTTATAGGTGTTACTTAGGAAAATTATATCTCACTCACCAAACCAATACCTCACCTTACCCCTTTCCCNTATACCACTTATGTGTGTGTGATTTTTTTAAAAAAATAAATAAAGTGAGTTTTAGGCCACAAATACTATTAAGCCGCCATGCGCTCAAACATCCCAAAATCCAACCCCATAAATGAGTCAAACCCCATCTTTAACCACTGAAAATCAGCTCCAAAAACGAGCAGAAATTGCCCACAAGACCAGCCCCAAATCAGCCACAGAACAACCATGAAAACTGGTCATTTTCGCACCTTTTAACACCCAAAATCTAGCTGAAAAACATCCGAAAATTACCCCCAAAACAACTCCAACAGCAGCTGAAAAACAGCCACAAACCCACCAAAAAACATCACCAAAAACGCACCCGAACAGCCATGTAAAACCACCCATTAACAACCACCAAAAACCAGACAAAAATGGACCAAAACGACCTCAAAAGCTCCAAAAAACGAGCTGAAAGTCTGCCCGAAAATGCAGCCATGAACCTCCGTTAAACACTGCCAAAATCAGCTCCCTAAAGCTCCCCAAATAGCCGCAAAACCCACATCCATTAAGACCAATCTCCAGCTCCAAAGCTGATGCAAAAACGCAGCACTTCTCCTTGCCAAACCAACCAAAAACACCTCAAGGTTGTCCCCATTTTTCGAGTGGAGTTCGTCGCATGGTTATGATTCGAGTCGATTTCTTCCGACGAGTTTTCTCCGGTGAGGTTGCTGATCGATTTTCCGTCAAGGCCTAGTTGAATTGTTGAGATGCATACGCTTAAAATCAGAGTGTTGTCTTTGGAGGTCAATCTTCTATCTTTCTTTTACTATTTTAGTTGAGTGTTATGTCATTCTTGCTTCTGTTTAAGCCATTTGATGGCTTCAATTTGCTTAAAGATTTTGAACCTATATTGAGTGCTTAGTAAGGTCTATTTCTATTCATTCTATGTTATTTATATTTCTTTTAGTTTGACATGTGACTTTAAGGTGATATAATCTATTTAATAAATCTCATGCTCGTGATTTGAACCTTTGTTAAACTCAATTACTGAAGATGAATACATTAGGTTGCGAAAGTGATGTCTTGTGATTCTCTGTTAATGTAGTGCCATCCGCTAGCTAGGAAAATTAGGCCACTTCGTTCAAGTGTAAAAATGCAGTAAGTTTGGGTTGTTCAATTGCTGTGGGTCGTGGATTGATTTTTTGGAAAATTAGACTTAGGCCAATCAATTTAATCTCGCTAAGGCCCAAAGTAGTAAACGGATGCTGACCCATTTCATGTTTAATAACAAAGCTAGCCCATCTTTTCATAATCAATTTACTTTATTTTTCACAACTATTCCATAATTTATGGTCTCACAATAATCTTAAATTAGTTTAGGAAAATAATTAATGAATAAGCGTAGTTTATTTTAGGCGCGATTAATGATAAATCATTGTGACTATGGGTACGGTTCCCGTGGCATAGTCATGATACCTAATTCCAAACTCAAGTGCGTGTTTCACGCGACTTGACCCCAACTTCAAATAATAATAAAATAAATATGTTGTAAGTCGTGGGTGCGTTTCACGTGGCGTGATTTGCAATGTGTACAAAAATAAGGAGTGCACGACATCGCGACTTGTTCAAATAAATCCCATAAATGGCTAAAAATTGAAAGCGGTATAGAAGCGTTAATGTACAATAAGTCTTTAAACATGTAATAAATCAGATAATTAAGCCAAATATTAATTGTTAAGCGATCGTGCTAAAATCACGGAACTCGAGAGTGTCTCACACCTTCTCTCGGGTTAACAGAATTTCTTACCCGATCTTTTGTGTCCGCGGGACATAAATAGAGTCAATTTCCTCGATTTGGGATTTTAAAATAAACTGGTGACTTGGGACACCATAATAAATATTTCAAGTGGCGGCTCTGATTAAATAAATAATCTCATTTCGAATAATGTCACGTTAATTGGAAAAACTCTCCTATCCCTCGGAAAAAAAGAGGTGTGACAAAGACCAACAGTTCGCCTAGAACGGCAAAACCCGTCGATCCCTTTTCTCGCTAGTTATGTTATTCATTACAGTTTCACGATACCCATAATATTAATACTATGAGTTTTCTTATTAATTTTTTTATGGCCGTGTTCAAATAGTTATGCGCTTATACAATGCGATTGATACTCCCTCCGTATCAATTTATTAGTCATGGTTCTAATCAACAACAACAACTCAGTGGAATCCCACAATTGGGGTATGGGGAGGACGGTGTGTATACAGACCTTACCCCTACCTATGAATGTAGTGAGATTGTTTCCGAAAGACCATCGGCTCAAGAACGTAAAAAAAATGGAGTAATAGAGAAACAATAGCAACAACAATGTAATAAGACAATGTAAGCAAATAATACAACGAATAATGACAGAGATCCAAGGATATGAAACTACAAGAATAGTGCAAATCCTACTGCTAATACTGACGTGTACCGTATATAAACAAGGGACTAAGAATAAGAAGGTACCTAACTAGTATAACTATGTACTATGTACTACTAGTAAGACAAGGCAAAACTCTAGAATGTCTATCAACTCACCACCCTAATTTTCGACCTCTACAGCTTTCTATTGAGGGTCATGTCCTCGGTAAGTTGGAGCTGAGCCATGTCCTGCCTAATCACCTCACCCCAGCTCTTCTTAGGTCTCCTTCTACCCCTCCTCTGACTCACCACGTGCAACCTCTCGCACCTCCTAACCAGGGCATCAACGTCTCTCCTCTTCATATGACTAACAGTCATGGTTCGAATCACGAGGGTCAATTTTTTTTAACTTTGACCATAAATTAGTCATGGATTTTCTAATTTTTTTTAAATCAAAAACTACATAAAAATACTATAAATCATAATAATTTATATTTTAAAATAATTATAACATATATATGAAAAATATAGTCAAAGAGTACAACTAGTTGACTCCCAAAATAGTTACTAAGACTAATAAATTGAGACGGGGAAGTAGTACGTTACGTTAAAAAAAATTAAATACCTACGAACTCAAAATCCAGGATCTGTCATTACGTATGTGTAAGTACATTGTGTATTTAAAAAACACATAATAAGTCAAAATATACTTATAATCCATCTAATAAACTTTAACTTACCCAAACACTCTCTTAGTTTGAAAAAAAAAAATACTGTAAAAGTAGTTTTCGAGAACAAGTGAAAACATGTTCGAACTACAGTAGCTCAGATTTTTTTAAATCAAAAGTCACTAGAAAGTTTCTTTTTCACTTATTATTACAAGATACTACTATATTTTTTCACTTTGCGGAAACATCGCCCACAGGAAAGGAAGATCCGGGGAAGATTCCAGCGTCTCTTACGGATATACCAATAATTTTTTTTTGCTTAGCTGTCATCACTACTTTTTCCATTTACACGCCAACCACTACGTAATAAAATGCATATATTTACCAAAAAACCTACCTCCTCTCCCCTATATAAACCCCCTCTCCACAACCTTTCAGTCCTTCTTTCGCCCACTTTCGGTTTCACACCTATTGGTATGTCTCAATTATTTCTTCTTTCTCCTTTATCCTTTCATTTTATTTATTGTTTTCTTTTTATTTCATTTTCTCTGTTTTCCTTTTTGCTTGCGTTTTCATTTCCTTGTTTTTTTATTTGTTTGTATATTAATTTTCATTTTTGCTGCTGTTTCTCTTATTTCTTTATCCTATTTACCGCATATTTGTTTCTTAAACTTATAAATTTCGATGGCGTCAATATATTTTGCGTAGAATCAGCCTAATTTTGATTATGTAGTGAATCCTTTTAGACCCGAACAGATCGAGAAGGATATTGGGATTTCATCGGGTTGATTGTTTAAATATTATGCTTCTGTTATTGTTGAATTTTCTATTTTTGGCGATTTTGCTAATACTTTGCTGCTCTGTTTTTGTCTTGCAGATTGATTTGCCTTTAATTGTTGCAGATACTGTTTGGATTTGGATATACACAAACTTTGAAATCTTCATTGACCCATTGAAATAGGGTTTCACAAATAGTTTTTATGTTAGCTTCAAGTTATTCATGACCCTCATGCGTCGAATTCGTATTATGCACTCTTTCTCTGTAGTCTTCCTGTACTGGTTCTACGTGTTTTCATGAACTAGCCCCCCTCACATCTTGTTTTTCTGTCCATTCTGTTATAGAAATTCCAAAATTAGAAAATCCTAATTCGCAAAACCTAGCAAGAAAGCAGT